CCCCCGTCCTGAAGGTTACCTGGCTGTGGTGGTACTTTAGGCTCTTCACATTTTGCAGCTCTTTGGCTTTTCCACAACGTATTTATGTTTCTTTTCTCTTTCAATGTTAACCGGGGGTGATCTGCGCTTATTTTCTCCTAATTTGCCTTGCTTGACTAAAAGCAGTCTTTCCTCTACTGCCTGTGAGCTGGGAGAGGGAGGGCCCTGGAGGGTCTCCCTGGGGAACGGGCTCAAAAGCCTCCACTCTGCGTGGGAGTGTCCTTGGTAGCCGCGGGTCATCGGTGATTCGGGAAACGGCTGGTGGAACACGGGAAGTTGTCGCTACATTGAGGAAGACCCAGTAAGCACTTCGCTGCAGTTCAGTAACGAGGAAGGAACTTAGCTGGACCGGGGAGCTGGTCACTGGGGGGCAGAAGCTGGCCCTGGGCTCAGTGCTGGCTCCCCAGCCCCTCCTTCAGAGACTGGCAGAAAGAGGAGGGCGGAGGCCCCGGCCGCCAGAGCCACAGTCCTCTGCCCATGGAGGCCCGGGGCCAGAGCGGGTACCAGTCTCTGGTTTCTGCCGTGCGAGATGGGGGGGGGGGGCTGTCTGGTGGCTGTGGACAGAGTGGAGAGCAGTGACCTGGGCAAGGCCTGGCCCCCAGGTTGGAGGGCCACTGTGTCTTGGGTCCTCCTGACCCCCCTCCCTCCCCACACTTCACAGACGTGGAAGCAGAAGCCCAGAGAGGTGGCCATTCGTGTGCGGTCCCCCTGCTGCTATAGGGTGGGGACAGGACGGGAGCCCTGGCATCCCCATCAGCTGTTGGGCACGGGGTTGTTAGGGTGGTGGCAGTGCTTGGATCCAGATGGGGTCTTCTTGGAGCCCCGCTGCCTGGCGACCTTGCATTCTTGCCAGGTTGTCAGATGTGCTTCGTGTACCCTGGCGACAGCCTGCGTGCTAGGGCTTTACGAGAAGTCCCCGTGGAGAGCCGCCTCTGGGCCAGCTGGGTCTGCAGAGTCTGTGCCCTTCACTCGGCGTCCGTGACTGCAGACACCGCTTACGTGCTTTCTAGGAACACTGCAAAACGTAGCCAGTGAGAAGAAGCAATTTCCTGTTTTTCTATTACCTTGACCGCTTTGCTTTCTTCTTTCGAAATTCCCCGACCTTGCCCATCTGAAGCGCCTTTGTTTTAGGGGCGCGTTTGGGGACCTGTGTGGGTCGGCCGGTCCCTGGAGCAGGCGAGCAAGGTGAGGTCGGGAGGCCCTGCAGGAGACGCCAGCGGTGTTTCTGGTTCTCGTCATAGCCTGTATTTTGCGGGAGCTGTTTGGCTTGTGTCAGCTCCCTGTTCAACCTCCCCTGCCGAGCTTTCTCAGCCAGGGTAGCAGACTGGACAGGGTGAACGGGGGGCCCACTGAGCAGGTGAAGGCTTTGTGCTTCTCCCCACGGGCCCGTCTCAGCTGCAGGAGAAGGGTGGTGACACGCTTGCTCGTGGAGTGATTTGCTTGTGCCCACGGTGCCGGTCTTCCCTCGAGAGGGTGCTGGGTCAGAAAGCAGCCTGAGACCCGAGAGCGGCCCAGCCCCCTGAACCCCTGCTTCTTCCACTGTCCCCATGAGTTGTGGACCCTCAGATCGTCAGAGTGGGGCGAGGGCCAGGCTCCGGGGGTCAGAAGGGCCCATTCAGGCCCCTCTCACCACCACCTCTGTGTCCACTGCCCTGTCCTCGAGCACAAGAGGCCCTTTGTGGAGACGAGATGCTGTCACTAAGGCAGGAACGTCTCCGCCGGATGCCTCCCTCGCAGCTGAGACCGCCGTGTGCAGCTCAGCTGACTCTGGGCTGGTGGCTGTGAGTTCTTCCAACTGCGTGACCGAGAGCCGTGCCTCCTCTTATGAAAACCACAGCGTTTAGGGGAATACCCTTTGTCTAATTTCCATACTGATGTGGTGAGCTATTTCCGTGTGTGCCGGCCACGCGTTATTCCAGCAGTGTCAGCTGTGTGGGGTGCAGACGTGCACGTTTGCATTTGAAGCTGGGCTGGCCTCGCAGTTATGCTGAGAGGCTCGGGGGACAGGGGTCCTCACGTCTCCGGCAGGCCCTGCGCAGAGCCCGGCCCATTCATCCCGGTCCCGCCAGGTTAGGCCAGGTTCAGCTTTCCCTGCCAAGATGGGGCTCTCTGTTCAGGGGGCTTTTTGGGGTGTGGGATGGGGTCTGAGATCTTCTTTCTTCACTCCTGGTTTCCATTTGGGAGTAAACGAAGGGTGTCGGATGTGCCATGCCTGCTGTAAGCTGAGGGTTTTGCAAAGCAGCCTCAGAGACTCTTACCGGGAAGGAGGCTGGGAACGGGCCGCCTGAGTGGCTGTGACCTGGACGGGAGAGCCACGTGCGTCACAGGAGTCCCCCCACACTGTCCGCCACGACTGGCCAGCTTCCTTTGTGCCCACCAGTCTGGGTGGTGATGTTGCTTCTAGAGCACGAGGAAGCCAGAGCTGCCGCCTGTGACGGGCAGAGGTGAAGTTTGGAAACAAACCAACCAAAAATGTGCTTTTGTTTTGGTATATTGTTAAGAAATCAAATTATTAAGGTAGATTTGAGGACATTCTGTTACCATCTAGCTTTATTTCTTAAGAAATGCTTTGGAAAATAAAATTGGGCGATGCACTAGGCTGGGATTTGACTTGATTTTATTTAGAAAAATATGTTTGTGTTTTTTGGATAACTGCAGCATTTTGCTGTTTGACCTGTTCACTAGCTTAGAGTAGACATGAGGCAATTGGTTGCTGGCTTTTTTTTTTTAATGTTTCTCTTGGTTGACAGTAAATCACAGTGGACACACTGTGCTTCGGGCCATGTGATTGTTCCCGATGAAGTGTCACTGCCGTGTGTTTTACGCGTCTTTCCTAAATTGCAGGACAGAGTGATGCCAATTACAGCCCCCGCCCTGCACTGCCCCTGCAGCCTCGCCTGTTCTTCTGTGGGTTTTTCCAGGACCCTAACTGCATCTCGCCTCTTCTCCCGTTTTACTCACTTAGGTTGGAGATTTAGGCAGAGGCAGCATTTGCGTGAGTGCTGGGGGCTGGGTCTGCTGGAAGGGATGTAATGGAAGAAGGGGGCTGACGAATATACAGTCAGAGCATCTTTAACAGCTAGCCCTCGGCCATGCAGTGGGATCCTCCATCTGCCTGTCCATCCATCTGTCCATTTATCCACGCAGTGGGTATTTGCCAGCTGCTTTGTCAGACTTTGCGGATGGACGTGATGGTGGGAAGATGAGCCTGGGCCGTTCCCTAGGAGCACCTTCTGACATGACCCACCAAACTGCAGAATAGGGGTGCTGGGAGAGAGGGAGTGCTGACCCAGCCCTGGCAGGAGGCCGGCCCCAGAGGCCCAGAAGGAGGACGGGGCAGAGGCACCCAAGGCGGTGGCTCCACAGCTCTCCGGGTGGCAGGGCTCGTGCTGACAATTCCTGTCCTGGGGGCGGCGGGCAGGGGTGGAGCACTCTTGGGCTGCTGCTCCCGAAGCTTCACGCCTGGTTTCTGCGGGCACCCAGGCTCCCTGGCGCAGGAAGCGTGATGGTGCGTAAGCCCAGCGTTCTCCGCGTGTGGAGCCCAGCCTGGCCACAGTGGGGTTGAGTGAAGACCCCTTTCTTTGGGAACCAGCTGGGAATTCACATCTCATCCCTTCATCAGATCCGCTTCATCAAAGCAGGTGCTGCTTCAAATGCTTAAACTAGATAAGTACTCAAGCACACAGTGCCTGTGTATGTTTTTTTTCCAAGTCAACATGCAGTTTTACTTAAAAAACAAAAATTTTCAGGGTTACTGCAGAAATGTTTGGTCTTCATTTTCCATGTCCTTAGGACCGGGAGATCCGGTGAGATTCTTACACATGCGAGGGGGGTTCTTGAGAGGAGCGAGTCCACAGAGGCCATGTCCTTCTTTGAATGATCTTTGACCCAGCTTTTCAAGAACTGTGTTCTCGACGTTGTAAAAACTCAGCCCCCCTCCTTAAAGCCGTGCAGTGGAGATAGGCTCTGACCCCTGAGAGGCCTGAACTGGCCGCCCAGGGCGTTTGTCCTGGCGAGCGCTGCGTGGCTGGCGTAGTTGTGACGTTCCTCGGCTGTGCGCGCAGCGTATTCGCAGAGCCCCGTCTCCCAGCCAGGGTGGCCCTGTGGGTGTGAGATGGGAGCGGGCGGCTGGCCAGGGAGCGCTGGTCCTTCACGCTGACTTTGCCTCCCCCGCAGCCACCTCCCCACGGGTATCCTCAGAGCTGGAGCAGGCGCGGCCGCAAACGAGCGGGGAAGAGGAGCTGCAGCTGCAGCTGGCGCTGGCCATGAGCAGAGAGGTGGCTGAGCAGGTGGGTGCCAGCAGGGATGCGCCCCGTGCGGCGGGGCCCGGGCGCCCTGGCGCGGAGGAGGGGCTCTAGCTAGTCGGTCCTGGGGATGCATAGGTCAGAGGTGCTTCCCGGGAGCGCTCCCGTGCGCTCGGCCGGGCTCCAAGCCAAGTGTCCACAGCCCTTCGGCACCGAGTGCGGACCAAAATCTGCAAGGTGGGTCGAGAGCATCTGGACCCAGAAAAGGATGAGACAGAGGCTGGGAGGAAAATGCCCAGGAGATCAGACTCTGACATTCAGACGTGGGCACGTGTGCAGTTTCTCTCTTATAAGCACACGTTACGTTAAGATGGAGGAGGAGGGGGTGTTCCCTGGTGGTCCAGTGGTTAGGACTCCGCACTCCCAGTGCAGGGGGCCCAGGTTTGATCCCTGGTCAGGGAAGTAGGTTCCACATGCCTGCTGAGCAGAGCGGCCAAATAAATGAATAAACAATAAATTAACAAACAAACAAACAGGTGTTTACAAAAAAGATGGAGACGAAGGGAAAGGAGCAGCCTTCAAAGGGCTCGGCCCTTGGCTGCCGCTTTCAGGCCGGACTTGCTGCCCTTTGGTTAAAAAAGGCAAAGGAGTGCAGCGAGGCCTGCGGCCCCTCTCGCTTGGCAGTGCTGTTGAGCACTCGGATGGAAGAGGCGGGTGTGGGTGACTGGAGTATCCCAGAGGTCCACGTAGCGGCCAGCTCCCGGCAGGGCCCCTCGGTCCACTCAGGACGTGCGGCCTGCCATCGACGGGAGGTGCAGAACACTCACGGGGAAAATGGGGCAGACGGACGGGCCAGCCCGTCGTAGTTCCTTGCTCCTGTCTTACGGTAAAGAAGACGCAGTGAGTGTGTTTACTTATATTTCATCATTGTATAAAAAAGCTAGGTCAGCCCAGTCTTTTTATATTTGCTGACTGTGCCTTGAATAAATGTAAATTAAATATAACGAGTCGTTTCTGGTAGAAATAATATAAACACACACTCATTTTCTGGAAGCACACACAGTGGGGGCAGGATGGAATGACCTGTGATTTCTGTCTTCTTTCTAATTCCTTTCTGGGTTGTTTGTTTTTATAAGGAGACATATTGCTTCTACAATTAGAAAGAATTTTGAAGTCATTTTCATTTTGAGAAAAAGTATTTTACAAGTATTTCCCTTCCCCCATCCGGCCCCCCGCCCCTGGCACACCTTGGGGTGGGAGAGGCTCATGTCCAGGTGTCCCCAGACCCTCCTTTGAAGTGACTGCGATACGGCTTTGGTTTCCGGCTCTGGCCAGGAGGGCCTGGCTCCTGGGGACCTTGTTGCCGTGACCACCAGCCTCAGGGTCCATTGTTCTCTACAGGAAGAGCGCCTCAGGCGGGGAGACGACCTCAGGTTGCAGATGGCCTTGGAAGAAAGCCGCAGAGACACAGTTAAATTTCCAAAAAAAAAAGAGGTGAGTGCTTCACGGGCCGGGCGTGGGGGGCAAGTCAGTGTGTGAGACCCTCCTGAGCCCAACCCCCAGCGGCTGTCTCAGCCAGCGGCAGTGAGGAGAGGGCGGGTGACACACACATCCGCCCGAGGGGCTGGGCCCTCCCCTGACCCCGCCTCAGTTCCGTCCCCCCAACCCCCACCCCGCGCAGCTCCGGTCGCTGCTCCGAAAGCTGCTAAGCGTCAAGTGCTTTGGGACAGTTTCTTGGCCCAGGGTAAGCCGGCGTCCTCCTTGCTCTCTGCCGGGCTTCCTACCTGGGACCTAAAGGTGAACTGGACGTGGCTCTGCCCCTGACAACCTCGTCATCCCGTCGGGAGACAGACCCTCCCGCAGGGCCAGGGCTCCAGTGGCCTCCCTGTTCCAGTGCTGCGGGGTCCCTGAGGGCAGCCAGGCTGGCTGTGGGAGCAGGAGAGTGTGGCGGCCCCCGGGAGAGAGCCCTGGATGACGCTGGCAGCTGGGGGGACCGGGCGGGTCGGGGGGCCGCGTCTCGGAGGGAGGCAAAACCCCTGTTCTCCTGGGAAGCCCCAAGGACCTGTCGACAGACGGCGGGCGCTTGGCACGCAGCAAATAGCCAGTGTGGGTGGAGCCTGGTCCTCACTGAGAAGCGGTGATGTGGGGCGGCGCAGTCCCGGGTCCTCTGGGCCCGCCAGAAGGCCTCTGCACTGCAAGGGGCACGGGCGGACACTGGCCGCAAGGGCAGCAGGGTAAACCTGTCCTCTTTCTTCGGTCCTCGTCTCAACAGCATGGCTCCCACCCACAGCAGACCACGCTGTTGGACCTGATGGACGCTCTGCCCAGCGCGGGCCCTGCTGCCCCGAAGGCGGAGCCCTGGGGCCCTTCCGCTTCAGCCAGCCAGACCAACCCCTGGGGTGCTCCGGCAGCCCCCGGCAGCACTTCGGACCCCTGGCCGTCATTTGGTAAAGACCTCCCTCGTACGTCTCCCCTGCCCGCCTGCTGGACGGGGGAGTGGCTGCAGGGCGCGCGGCTCCCTCTCACCTGGCAGCGGTGTTCTTCAGGAGAGTCTCTCAATCCCTTTCGAAGTCGTATGGGGTCGGTAAGCAGACGGGCGGCCTCCTCAGTGCCCGGGAGAGAGCGTGATCCCTCCAGGAGCTGGTGAAGCCAGCGGGCTTGAGGAGCGCTGAGTCCAGTCAGCGGCTGCTTTTGGGAGGGGTTTGGGGGTCGCAGTGGTGGGAGAGAGACAGACTTTTCCCTCTCTACCTTTTTTTTTGTTTAACTGTTCGACTTATTTACCAGGGATAAGTATTACCTGGTCAGGAGAGAGGGAATACATATTTTTTCAACCAGCAAGCTTGCCCAGCCCTCCCATTGGCTGGTGGACAGGGCTGGGCCCCGGAGCTGGGTGTCCTGACTGACCAGGCACTTGACCCTCGCGGGGAGCTGGGGGGGTCTCCTGCGGGTGGGGCAGGACCACCTCCAGTGGTTGGGGTTCTCACACCTGCAGGCAGTGGAAGCCAGCAGCTGGGGAGAGGCAGCTGGTGCCCAGAGGCAGCTGAACATCACATGGGAATTCTGCCCACGTGGTTCTGCTCTTCTCAATTGTTTTTAATCAAGATAAAACTTACACGACGTAAAATTCACCATCTTACCCATTTTCACGTGGACAGTTCAGTAGTTCTTAGCCCTCCATGATAGCGTGCGGTTATCAGTACCGATCCCAGGACTTTCCATCGCCCCGGAAGGAAATCCCTTCCCATTAGGCAGTCACCCCCTGTTGCCCCTCCCCCGCCACCAGTCTGCTTCCTGTCTCTGGAGTTGTCTGTCCGGGCGTTTCGTCTGTCATGGGATCACACAACACGTGGCCCTTCTGACTCCCAATTAGCATGTTTTCAGAGTTTGCCCACATGATAGCACATATCCGTCCTGCATTCCTTTTTAATGGCTGAATAATATTCCATTTTATAGACATACCACATTTTGTATAACCATTGAGCAGTAAGGGAAGGTTGGAACCTGAAATTTTGAAATCAAATTTTCAAATGTTGACAATGAATTTTAAAAATTAAGAACGTGGTTGGAGCTAATCAAAATGCACCTGCAGTGGCCACGTGTGGTTGGTTCATGGACTGCCACTTTGCCGTCTTTTGCTACTTGCCCAACCCAGGGCTGTCTTCTTGGTTCTGATGCACTTGGCATTTTTACCAGTGACTTGGGGAAAACAGCATCAAAGCCCAGAGAGGCTGTTCGTTCCTCTGAGGTCACACAGCAAGTGAGGGGCAGGCTCAGTGCTCATGGCCCCCGTCCTGGAGTCATCACGCCATCCCGGACTGCCGCTAAGGCCTTCTGTGGCCGCTCATGTCCAGGAAAAGTCCCCTCAGACTGCAACAGGGAGCGAGAACCGGTGTTAAAATGTTAGCTTGTCTGCTTCCTGCGTCCCCTGGGCCTGTGTGTTTTCACGTGGTTGGGGTCACATCGTGGGTACGTGTAGACATTTCTTTCTTCCATACACGGGGAGCCTTTCCAGGCATCAGTCAAAGCTCTAGACGTCAGCTCCCGTGGGCAGTGCTAGCGCTCTGCCCTCAACAGCGTTGCAGGACGCGGCCTCAGCCCCGCTCCCAAGCTCACTGGACCGTGGTGACCATGAACTTGCTTCCTTCTTCTGAGATGCCGCTCTGGAGCGAGATACAGTGTCAGGCTTACTGCTTAGTCTGTGGTAGAATCTGCCAGTGTGTGTTTGGGGAACACCCCACCACCCCGAAACAGCTAGAAAGATCAGAGTCTCTTCCCCAGCACTGTGGGATGCGACCCCTGGATGAAAGAAGCGCTGTTGTGAAAGCCGCCCTTGGTAGCGAGCCCTGCCTTTACCAGCTTGTGCCAAGGGGCCTCGGGAGGAAATGCTGGGGGCTGGGAGGAGGGAGAGCGGCGCCTGCCAGGTCAGCAGGGCACTTCCTGCACCTGCCAGACACAAAGCAGCCGCCTGGGACAGCAGGGCTCATGGCCTGTGATTCCAACGGCCTTAGCCGGCTCAGCCCCCGCCCCCGCTCACTCCATGACCCGCCATGTGACTGCTTCCCTGTCCCATGGAGACTCGTCGTGGGGCTCGGGGAGAGCCGGGCACGCTCCCTGTGAATGGGCCCTCGGTCCTGGCCTCCCCTCCTCTCCGTCACTCAACAAGCGCCTATTTGTCGGGTGTGTGGCCCGGCTGGGCCGGCCGGGGCTGTGGTGGGCGGAGCACAGCGGGGTCCATCGTGTCCCACGTGCGGTCAGGAGGGCAGTGCCCGAGGCCCGGGGCGGTGGGAGGCCAAGGAGTTCCAAGACGGCCTCTGCCTGGCAGGGCAGTCTGGCCCCCCTTAAATGCCGGCTCCTCACGTGATGCTGTGTCCTGCTGTTTGGCTAGTGAGCGCCTGGCTGTGCTTGAAAACATGGCTCGGGTGTCCTGCTTGGGGAGACAGGGTCACCCTGTCCTCAGGACCCCTCCTTCCCCGTGGTCGCCAGCTGCCCGTGACCCACATGCTAGGTACAATCGCTGGGGCCGTGTTCCTCTTGCAGGGCAGGGCCTGGGCCTGCGCCATGTGGGCCAACGATGCTCAGAGGAGCGAGGTGGTGCCGACGGCCGCCTGTCTGTGGCAGGGTCTGGCCCCACCAGACGTCCGTCTGTCCATCCGGCCTGCGATCCGAGCAGCCCAGGAGCTGGGTGGTTCTCCCGCACCAGCTGCTCATCCTGGCCGCTCGGGAAGCCTCTAAAAATGCACATGCCCAGGCCCTCCTTGGCATCTGTGTGTGCGGGGGTCAGTATTCTACTCACAACCCCAGGGGATTCCCAAGGGCCACAGCTGAGAACCGCTGGCCTGGTGCCCCCTGAGCTGCATGGTGAGTGAATCCCTCTGAATCAAAGGCGTTTGTAGATTCTCTGCGTGGGCTGTGCAGAGTCGGGGCGGCTCTAGCTGTGTGTTTCTACACCCGAGTCAGACATTTACGTGGAACCTTCCAGAAGTGCTCTCCAGCGTCAGCGGTGCCCATGGCGGGAGTCGGGGTGACTGCAGGGTCCCCGCAGCCCTGAGACTCTGTGGGTCCCTCAGGCCCCATCAGTTGGCAGCACCTTCGTGTGTCAGGTCCTCTCTGAGGCCCGGGAGAGCGGCGTGAGCTCAGCCCCCGTGAGCAGGTGCCTGTGAGGGGGCTGCAGGGTGGGGACCGTGCCCCCAAGCGGGCCGGGGAGGCCGTCTGATGGGCAGGACGCCATGTTGTACCCAGTGGGGTACAGGTGGGGATGGTAGCTCTGCCCTCAGGCCGGCTCGACCCAGTGGCTGAGCCGGCGTCACCAAGACCCAGGCCCCGTGCTCTGCCCCCTCCCACTGGGCCCCTCCCCTCTCCCTTTGGCCTTAGAAGCTCAAGGCCTGGCTGGCGGCTCTGGGTGCTCACAGCCCGGGGATGGAGAGGATCTCCCTGGACCTCATGGACCTCTCTGGGATGCAGGAGTGGGGAGCTGGGACTGGGGGTGGGCTGGTGAAGACCCTCCCCTGTCGCAGCGCAGGGTCCGCCCACTCAGACCGGGACTAGGGAGTGGTAAGGGGACAGTTCTCCCGAGGAAGATCAGCAGATCCCTCGAGAAAAGAGGAGGTGGGTGCTGGAAGGTGACCAGGGAGCGTCTCCCGATGGGGGCGCGTCTGCCCAGCGGTCAGGCGCAGGGGAGGAGTGCAGGGCTCCCAGTCCGTGTCCTTAGGCACAGACGCGCTGGGACATGAACTGTGAGCTCGCAGTTCTCGCGGGCGCTGCTGAGTGGGGGAGGTCGAGGCCCCACGGGAGCCAGGAGCAGCCTGGCACTGGGTCCGGGTCCTCTGCAACCTCCTCATCCTGTGTCCTCTCCGTTGCGTCTCGGACGTGAAGACACGTCCCAGCTCTTCTAACCTGCAGTCCAGCTCCCTCCCTGACACAGTTTCCACCCTGGCAGCTCCCTCCAGTTGAGACAGGAAACCGAGGCCCCCGAGGTGCTGTGTTGGGGGCAGAGCGAGGACGCACCCCAGCTGTGTGACTCCAGCCGGGACCAGGTGTCCCGCTGGCCGAAGTGGGCCCGGGAGAGTGGGGTACGTCCCGGGGGAGGTTGTTCTGCGTGAGTCGCTGGGCGGACGGGAGTGAAAGGTCGGAGGAGCTTCTGGAAGCCTCAGGAGGGTTGTGGCTTGGGGGCAGCGGCTGGAGAAGCCCCAAGTCCACACCAGAGCTGGCCGGCCGCCAGTGGGTGACAGGCGTGAGGCTGCCCTGGCTCGTCCGTCGTGGTTGCTGTGGCAAGCCTGGCGGGGGGGGGGCCGGCCGGCGGCGGTACGTCTTCTTCAAAGCCAAGGAGCCCCTTTCACGGCTGGGCCCCGTGCAGTGCCCTGCCTAGGGGCGGGCCCCGGGCGCTGAGTCCACGGGTGTCAGGGAGCAGTGCCCGGTCTTTTCACCCCGCCTGGTGCCCCCAGGAGCTCACTGTCTAGGGAGACTCCTGGTAAGCAAGTAGCCACGGAGCTTTCTGGAGAGTGCTCCGGAGGAGTTGGGGGCACGTGCAGGCAGAATTGGGACACGGCTTTTTGAAGTTCCAGGAAAGTAATGTTTGAAAAGATAGCGATGGAGGGCTTTCAAGAATTGTGGCGAGGGGCTTCCTCTCAGAGCTGCGGAGCCTAGTGAGCCCTACACAGGGTAATCAGAGAAACCCACACCCAGATGTGCAGTCAGGAGACTGGAGGACAGCAAAGGGAGAGGACATCAGAGATGACCCCCCAGGAGCAGAGAAGAACGGCAGTCAGGCCGGCGGCCCAGTCCCAGCAGTGACGAGAACGTCGGGGCGGCGGGATGACGTCCTCAGGGCCCACTGGGAGAACACCCTTCTCCTGAGAACAACGGTGAGACAGAGAAACCACCGAAAACCTCACCCACCAGAATTCTGCATCCGGTAAAGTTATCCTTCAGGAATGAAGGTGAAAGGATACCATTTGCAGCCCCACAAAAACTGCCAAGGGAAGTTCTTCCAGCTGACATGGAAGACAACCAGATGGAAACTCAGATCTCAGGAAGGAATGGAGAATATCAGGAATACAGAACTAGGCAGGAGAAGATGTTTACATAAGAATATGAGAAAGTTGGAGCAGCGTGATTCATAAGCCTGTGAAGGTGTCGTCTCAGCAACTGGAGAGCACGCGTTCTTTCCAGTCACACGCGAGATGCAAAGCGTCAATTGCGTGCTAGGCAAAAAGCCTCTGCCAAGTCAGAAAGCTGGGTCGCATAGAACGCACCTTCTGACCACAGTACACTCAAGTTTAAAGTCGGTAGCAAGAAGATAAGTAGAAGACTCCATACGCCTGACATTTTAAAGACACCTACATTCTTGAGTCAGATAAGAAATTATAGGGACAGAAATATTTAGAACCAAATAAAAACGTAAATACTTTCATATCAGAATACATAGGACAATGGAAGTGATAGTAAGAGGAAAATTTAGAGCTTTTAATGTTTGCATTAACCCAGAAGAAAGGCACAAGATTGATGAGGTGTTGAGGCTTGGATGGTGTCACACCCAAGTCAAGTGGAAGGAACGAAACAGTGAGGAGAACAGAAGCTAACAAGTTAGAACACAGAATAATATCCACAAACACAGAAGTTGGTCATTGAAAAGAGTAATAAAATAGAGAAATCTCTGGCAAGAGTAGTTCTGAAAAATAAAGAGGAAAGGCCAAACGTAGGTGCAGGTCCTGCCGAGATTCCACATAGAGTAAGAGGTGTTTGATCAACTCTGTGCTGACAGGTCTGAGGACTTAGATAAAATGGATAAATTAGAAAAGTAGATTCAGCAAAGCTGGCGGAAGAACAGTAGGACACCTGTAAATAGGGAAAGTCCTGTAATCATTAAAGGAACCGAGTAAGTCACTCACCTCCCTCCCGTTCCCTAAATCACCCAGAGGGCTTTGCTGGGAGTTCTCAAGCCATTCAAGAAACAACTCCAGGGACTTCCCAGGTGGTCCAAGCGGTTAAGACTCCGCACTCCCAATGCAGGGGGCCCGGCTTTGATCCCTGGTCAGGGAACTAAATCCCGCGTGCCGCAGCTAAAAGATCTGGCGTGCTGCAACGAAGATCCCACGTGCCGTAACTAAGACCCGGCGCAGCCAAAATAAGTAAATAAATATTAAAAACAAAAAAGAAAGAAACAACTCCACTTTATACAGACTCCTTCAGGGGGTGGGAAAAGGGAGTATTCCTACTCATTTTATGGGCTAGCATAACCTTAACACCAAAACCAGACAGAAGATGCACAGTGTGAGAACAAACAGGTGAGGCCAGGCCCACTTAGGAATATAGGTGCAAAAACCCTAAGCAAAGAAGCAACTATAAAACCAGAACGAGAAAAATATAAAAATGATCCAGTACATCATGAAAAACATTGTTTCCAAGGACCAAGTCTCTAGGAAATGTATTAATGTACCATGTTAACAGGCCCAAAGAGAAAAATCATGTGATCATCCTATTAGAGGCAGAAACAGGCTGACAAGATCCACCAGCTCTTTATCGCAGAAGTCTTAGCAAACTTGGAATAAGGGGGAACTTCCATAACCTGATAAAGAGCTTCTGAAAGGAAAGACGCCTATTATGGTAAATGGTGCCATTTAATGGTATACATTTAAGAGCAAAACGTGGACACAGTCTGTTCCCCTGCTCTGCGTTGGGACGGGTGGGCCTGGCCAACAAAGCGAGACGGGAAAGTGAGGGACTTGGAAGAACTAAGCTGTCATCGCTTTCAAGGGATGTGACCGTGTACATAGACTCCCAAAGAGTTTCTGCAAATGCGGTGATTGGAATTAAGAGTTATTAGAATTACTGTAAGAAGAAATAGGTTGTAACTAACACAACAATGTAAAGCAATTATACGTTGCTTCTTTAACATCCAATAAAGATGTTAAAGAAGAAAAAAAGAATAAATAGGATGAATTTCAATGATTAGAATTAAGAGTTTAGCAAGATTGCTGAATACAGAAATTAGTATACAAAATTAAATTGTTTCTCTGCATAGTAATAAGTAACTAGAAAATGAAGTTTTAAAAATATGCCAGTCCCTAAAGTTGTATAAATTCCTCATGGAAATAAAGGATAAAGTAAAAAGTATGATCCAGTCCATGTGCGAGGGCATGTGGAGGTGGAGTTCCTGCGTGTCCCGAAAAGCACAAATTTAAGGAAAATTCTCCTGCGTTCTACTCCATCCAAGTGAGAACTTCTCTGTTCATCAAAAGATTCCATGAGGAGAGTGAAGGGAAAGGCCACAAGTTAGGAGAAGGTGTTTGTAACTCAAGGAAGAGAATCAGCACCCAGACGTGGAAGGAACCCGTCAAATCAGTGAAAACAAAAAACCCAGGGGAGGCGGGTAGAGATGGGACCAGGCCCCTGGTGGGAGAGGAGGCGTGAGGGGCCTGGGAAGGAGCGAGCTGATGCCCGTGTCTGCGGTGAAGGGCCGCGTGTGCAGTACAGTGACAGCTACACCAGCCGTGCCTTGTGTCACAGGTTGCAGTATTAGAGAGCAGTAAACAACACGTTTCAGCTACACACCAGCGCAGCTCAGTCTCCCGGATAAACCTCTGCGTGAACACAGCCGCCCCCGAGAGCACCCCGACGGTGTGTCCGGTAGCACACGGCTCAGGGGCCCGGCACCGCTCGCCCCCTCGGCCCCCTCTGTGGCGAAACCGGAGCTCGTGGAGACTGGGGTGGGGCACGGGGGCCACGCAGTGGTCGTCTGAGATGCTCTGCAGGGGGAGCAGGTGCGTGGGTGCTCTGTGCAGGTGGATGGATGCATGCGTGCATGCACGACCCACTCCCCACCCTGCACAGGCCCGGGCGTTGGAGTCTGTCCCATCCTTTAGGGAGTGGATGTGTTAGTGCACAGCTGTTTGTTTGATGCCTCTCCATGCCGCACCGCGTGTCTGCTGCGTGCAGGCAGGGAGGACGCTGCCAGGCAAGCTCTGCCGAGGCAGAGGCCGCGGGGGCTCTGTGCTCCCTTCCCCGGGCGCTCCCCCCAGGGTGCTCCTGTGGCCTCAGGTCCTCTCCCTCTCACCTCGGCTGCCCAGCCCTTTCTGGGAGCATCTCTGAACCAACCCCGCCTTCCCACAGGTGCCAAGCCAGCCACCTCCGTCGACCCATGGGGGGTGCCCACCGGAGCCGGCACACGCTCCGTCCCCAAGGGCTCCGACCCCTGGGCCGCCCCGCAGCAGCCAGCCCCCAGTGCCGGGAAAGCCGCTGATCCCTGGGCCGCAGCATCGGCCGCCAAGCCCGTGTCCCCCTCTGGTGAGCCCCCCGCCCCCCTGGCCCCTCGGCTTCGGTTTGGGGAGGGGGAGGGGGGGGCAGGGGCAGCCGAGAGCCCTGCTCTGCGTGGGGAGGCCCCTCCCGGTGCCCTCCTTGCCCACCCAGGGACCCCCCACCCCCGCTGCCCCCCGACTCTCCGAGTTCTCCCCCGTGAGGGCTACGGACGCCGGCCCACCTCTGGTCTCCCCCCCCCGGCTCCGTCCTGTCCTTCCTTCTGCTCACACAGCCACAGCGCCCGGCCCTTCTCCCTGCGGGGCTGGCGGCCTCTTTCCCCTCATGCCGTGAGAATGTTTGAACCGTGGGCCCTTCCCAGTGCCCTCCAGGCAGAGCTGTCAGCCTGCTCCCCCTTCCCTCCTCGGCTCTCTCTCTGGAGCGTCCCCCCGGGCTCTGGGCTGGAGATGTTGTGTAGACGCTGGCTGCCCCCGCCCTGCAGCCCAGCGCTCCTCTCCTGCGCCCGGCGCAGACCACGGGGCCAGCTGCCCTGCCCTGTTCCCGAACCTCTAAGGATGCGAGGTCCGGGCCCCGCCGTTTGGGGAAGCACATGGCAGAGAAGTGGAGACATGGCACAGTCACTACCGCTCTCTCCCCAGGGGCTTTTGATCTCTTCAGTAATTTGAATGGTACAATTAAAGATGACTTTTCTGAATTTGACAACCTCCGAACTTCAAAAAAAGCAGGTACGTAACGTAGGTGGTGGTGGTGGTTTCTGTGCCGTCCTGTGCCCCTGACCAGCCCAGTTGCTGCAGGCATCACAGTCAGGAACCTGGCGACTCCACGCGTGTGCACGTGTCTGACCTGGGAGCTGGGGGTCTGACTCAGGGATTCACATTCACGGGCCAGCGGCGGCGGGAGTGCCCTTGAGCTTTCTGTCACCCTCTCCTCTCCAGCCACCTCTGTTCCTCGGCCTCGCACCCTGGGCCCTGTGGCCGCTGGCGGAAGCCCACTGCCCTGGCTCCCCGGCCGGCCCAGCGTAGCCCTGCCGTCTCCACCAGCCTTCCTCTGCCCGGCTCCCCAAAGGCGCCCCCTTTTCCAGACCACCCGGCTCTCTGTGTGGGCAGACATCTGTGACGCACACACGTGCACGCACGCACGCGCGCACGCACATGCACGCTCTGCAGAAGACCCTGCTCCTCCCTGAGCGCCCCTGGGCTGGGAGGGGTCAGGGCTGGGCGGAGAGAGACTGGGCCCCGAGGGGCAGAGGGAGGGGGCTGGATGCCCTCTTCACACAGCCCTGTGGGGCTGGGGACAGAGCCAGGTGGCGCCTGCCTTCCTCAGGGCCACCCCTCCCAGCTGCACCGAGCAACTTTTCTCCTTTTTCTCTCTTCTCCTGGCTTCCCCGCTCCCCGTTTCCCACTGCCCCCTCCCCCGCCTCCCCCAGCAGGCAGGGCTGGGCTGGCCTAAGGTAGGAGCAGCCTGGCACCCCTCACCGCACCCCCGCCGCACCCCCCGGGCCCTCTCAGCTCCAGGGGCCCAGAAGCAACTTAGAGCTGCTGCTTCCCCGGGTTTCTTTTGCCGCATCAAAAAAGCAACAAGATTCCGTGTGTCTCTTCCACAGGCCAAAGTACAGCCTAACTGTCCTTGCTCGCTCCCCACCCCTCAGGGAGAAGCCTAAGCGCCCTTCCCTGGGCCTGTGAAGTATTTACCCCAGTTCTGGAGGTGTTTCCATTGTAGAAAGTGTGGGAAAGTTGATGGAAGACAATGAAACTCATCTGTAATTTTCCCATCTACACATGGCCGCTGTGCTCCCTCCCAGCACTTTTTCTGAGCTCTTATGGACACAGCCTTTGTTGTTGCGCTCGTACTTAGGGAGGGAGTCGAATCCTGCCCCCACCACTTTTTTTTTTTTTTTTTTTCACCACTTTTATGGAAAAGCGGATTGGGAACATTTTCTTTCAACATTACAAATTCTTTAGAAATAGCTTTGTAGTATCTCTTTGTAGGGCTCAGCGACAAGTTACTGGGTTCCGTAATATATTACGGAAAAACCCGAACTTTTGGCCAACCCAATGTTTAATCGTTGATTTTGGGGAGGGCATTTTAAGTTGATTTCAAGTTGTGCTAAAGTAAATAATGCTGTAGTGAACATCTCTGTGCTTAAACCCCTGCTCACACTTTGCATTATTTCCTGAGTCTGGGCTCCTGGGCGTGGGGCTGCTGAGTGCAGAATCGACGGTTCTTCGGGACCCGTGTCCCCATCACCATCTCACAGAGCAGAGCAGCCTAGCAGAGCGGCCACATTCCTGCCGGCCTGCCTCAGCACACCCTCTGTCGGCTGAATTTTTAAAAGTCATTTGCTTTCTTCTTACTGTCAAGCAATTCATGTTCACCGTAGAAAATTTAGAAAATGAAAACATTTAAAAAAATGTGAACTACTCATGTGTAGCCACCAACCCAAAATGCCATCTTAATATTTGTGGAGATTGTGCTGCACTGTTCTGTCCCTGCTCCTTCCTCATCGTGCCTTCCGTCCCTGGACTCAGGTCTGGTAGTACTTGCCCTGCCCTGTGGCTGACCGTGGCTCCAGGTTGGGACTGTTGGAAATAGCACTGCAGCGATCGCCCCATTCCTTGGGCAGCCGTACGCATCCCCGGCGAGTCGGCGTCCGGGAACATCGGGGTTTGCTCTGGACGCTTCAGGGTTGGATGAGCCCTCCAGGCTCACCAGCCCGTGTGTGTCCTTGTCTTGCAGCCAAGGCGGCGTCTCCACCGGCCCAGAACAGTGGAACTACCAGCCCCGACCCCTTTGAGTCCCAGCCCCCGACCGTGGCCTCAAGCAAGCCCAGCGGCACCCGGAAAACCCCCGAGTCCTTCCTGGGCCCCAACGCAGCCCTGGTGAACCTGGACTCGCTGGTGACCAGGCCAGCCCCGCCGGCACAGTCCCTCAACCCCTTCCTGGCACCAGGTATGCTTGCTTCCCGGCCTTCCTCTGGCCGTCTGCCCTTCCTGAGAGCGGCTCTGGGGCAGGCCTGTGGGCGCTGACCTCCCCTCCACCTCTGCGGGGGACTCTTCCCTCAGGGACCACAGGCGGGGACCAGGCTCAGGGGCGTGCTGGCCCCGGCTGAGCAGTAGCGGAGCGCCGGGCATCCTGGACCGGCCCTCGCGCCTCTCCGGGACTCGGGGGCTGGAAAACAAAGCCTGTCCTCCGTTGAGACCACTGAGCAGAAGCTGCCCCTGACTTGGTGCCCCAGCCAGGGAGACCCTTTAGCGAGCGCCAGTTTTAGGTCAGCTGGAGGCGGATAGTGCTGGGGCTGAGGGGAGGAGCCTGGGTTTGCTGCCCAGCGGCCCCGTTTTCGGGTTGAGGGTAACTGGGCTCTCAACCGAAAGGTTGAGGGTAAGGCTGGGCCATGCTCCAGGGACCCCAAGAGCCCTCACTTCGCCCCTGCTGCTGGATTCTGCCGTATCTGGGGCTGGAACTCACCCTTGCCCCCCAAGCCCGTCCTCCCTGCCGGTGGGCTCTCCACCCTCAGGAGCTCCACATGGGCTACAGGACAAGCCCCAGCCCTCGAGGGAGTGGCCAGGGCCTCCGTGTCCCGTGCCCCCACCCACGCCAGCCCCCTGTGCGCTCAGCCCCTCAGCTGCGTGAGCTGCTCTCTGCCCCCCGCTACACGTCCTGTTCCCTCTGCCGGGACGTCTCCCTTCTCTTCTCCGGGGCTGGGGATTCGGACCCCCGCCTTCGCCTCTCAGTCCGGGCAGCCCTCTTCCTTGAGGAAGCTCCCGCCCTTCCCCAGAGTTTTCCCAGAAAGGCCCTGGGCTCCCCAAGGGCATGAACAGGTCACCTTCAAGGTGTTTGGCCTCAGACCTGAGGACTTGGCAGGCTGAGGTCAGGGACCCTCTGGCAGAAGCGGTGTGTGTGTGATGCCTGGGTCCTGCCCGGCCGTGCACTCCTGAGGTAGGTAGGGAACGTGGTTGCCACCAGTGGGGGTGGCTCCAGGGCAGAGCTGGCCGACAGCCAGGGGTCTGCCCCGAAGGCCCCTGCAGGAGCTGCACTGCCAGGCCGTGGGGGGCCGGTCAGGGCCTGGGGGCTACAGCCAAGACGCAGGAGGCTCCGGCAGCCCCCCGGCCCTCCAGGGCCATCCTCCTGCCTCTGCCCCTTTGTGGTCCTACTCTGTAGTCTAGTCTGCTCATCTCTAGCCGGGGTGATCTGATCTGCACAGCCCTCTTCCCAGGGCTCCGAGGAGCGACTGATGCAAGAGCGTTGGGGTGCCCTCGTGGAGAGCAGGCGGCATCTCCTCTGGTGACCTGGGGGTGCCTTCCTGGCAGCCTTTGTGAGCAGGGGCTGGGCTGAGTTGGAGACTCAGTGCCGGCAGCGCCTGTGGTTTTTGGCCAGGGTATCAGTAGACGTTTCTGCTGAACTCGGGGAAGGGCTTCTGGTATGAGAGGAATTCGGGAAACACTGGGCGGGGTGGAGCTGCATCTGCTTCTAGACTGCAGGACTTCTCAGAGTCTTTACTATGCCAGGGTCCCCAGGTGCGGGCCGCCCTGCGCTTCCCGCCTCCCCCTCCCCCGTGGCTCCCCTCTCTCCCCGCACCTCTCTCCTCTTCCCTCTCCCTCTGGTCGCAGAGCTAGGCTGGCTGGCCGGCTGGCTGAGAGAACGAGGGAGGGCGCCCAGGGTACCAGCCCGGAGGAGGAGCTGGGCCCCGTGAGCCTGGCCCCTCGCTGGGCTCCTCACGGCCTGAGTCTCCCAGTCCCAACACCAGGCCCAGAGGGGCGGGCGGGCTGACCCGGTGGCCGCTGTGCCGCGGTCGTCCAGGCCCGGGCACGCTGCAGCTCTGACCGCGGCCACCCTGCCCGCTCTCTCTCCAGGTGCCGCCGCGGCCTCAGCCCCGGTCAACCCCTTCCAGGTGAACCAGCCGCAGCCGCTGACGCTGAACCAGCTGCGGGGGAGCCCGGTGCTGGGGAGCAGCGCGTCCTTCGGGCCCGGCCCGGCTGTGGAGCCCGTGGCTGTGGCCTCCGTGACGTCCGCAGCCTCCCACCCAGCCCTGGGGGCTGGCGGCTCCTCCCTGCCACCGCTGGGCCCCGCTGCGGTGAACATGGTGGGCAGCCTGGGCGTCCCCCCGTCGGCAGCTCAGGCCACCGGCACAACCAACCCGCTCCTCCTCTAGTGCCCCCCCCCCCCGGCCCCC